CTGCTGTTGTTGCTGCTGTTATTGCTGCTGCTGTTGCTGCTGTTGTTGCTGCTGTTGTTGCTGCTGTTGCCGCTGCTGTTGTTGCTGCTGTTGCTGCTGCTGTTGTTGCTGCTGTAGTTGCTGCTGTTCCTGATTTTGTTGATGCTAATGTTTCTGCTGTTGTTGTTCGTGCTGTTTCTGTTGCATCTGCTGTAGTTGATGCTGAGATTGTTGGTTTTGATGTTGCTGTTGTTGAATTTTATGTTGTTACTGTGCCTATTGTTGCTCTTGTTCTTTCTGCTGTCACTGCTGATGCTGCTGTTTTTGTTGCTGTTCTTGCAGTTGTTACTGCTTATGCTGAAGTGGCTGTTGTTATTGCGATTGTTACTGCTGTTGCTGCTATTGCTGTTGTTGCTGATGCGGATACTGTTGTTGCTGTTGTTACTGATTCTGCTGTTCCCATTGTTCATGCTGATGTTACTGCCGATGCTGCTGGTCTTTGCATTATGTTGCTGTTGCTGATGCTGCTGTTTTGTTGCTGTTGATGATGGAACTGCTGTTGACAATGCTGCTGTTGATGTTCTTGTTGCTGATCATACTGTTACTGTTATTACTGCCGTTGCTGATGCTGCTTTTGTTCTTGCTGCTGTCACCGCTGCAATTGCTGCTGCTGTTGTTGCTGCTGCTGATGTTGCTACTGTTTTTGCTGTTACTGTTGTTACTGCTCTTGCTGATGCTGCTGTGTTTGTTGCTATTTTTGTTGTTACTGTTGCTAATGTAGCTGCTGTTGCCGATGCTGCTGTTGTGGTTGTTGCTAATTTGCGGTTACTGTTATCACTGCTATTACTGCTGAATCTGCTGTATCATTGCTGCTGTTGCTGTTCTTGTTGTTGTTCTTATTGTTGCTATTGTTACAGATGTGGCTGATGCTGTTTTTGGTGTTGCTGTTATCACTGCTGTTGATGTTGTTGTTGATTCTGCTTTTGCTTTTTTTTACTTTACCTGTTGTTGCTGTTGTTCTTAACACTTTTACCGCTGATGCTGCTGTTTTTTGCGCTGTTGTTGCTTTTTTTGCAGTTGTTACTGCTGATGCGGATGTTACTGATTTACTAATGCTTCATCTGTTGCTGCTGAAGTTACTGCTGTTGTTTTGGGGTTTGATGAAACTTTAAAGGTTGATATTGGGCTGAATGCTCAGTCTACTTCCTCGCACTTTCACCAGCTATGTGATCAAACCGTCAAACATATATTGTGTCATTTCAGGTGTGAGGAATAAATATTTGTGAGCAGGTAAGAACCACCGCAACTTTCCATGGCGGTATATGCTCATTAAGTTAACTTTTGTTGTGTAGTGAATGACGACCGTATCAGAACAGTAGCTTTTTAGAGCGTGGAACGATCGAACCGCGGCCTCCGCCTCTTGAACTGCAGCGTCGACCACGTGAGTAACACACTCGTTGTGATGTGCTAGACGCAGCGCAGGTGATGTGAGTGGCGTGTGATTCTAATGTGTGGCGTGTGGTCCTTCTGTGTAACACTCGCCACAGCTGCCAAATAATGCTACCGTGCGGCATGTGGATCTCCTGCGCACCACACGCCACAGTTGAGCATCACAATTCCCACCATCTGCGGTCCTCCTGGTGACGCGTACCAGTTAACTAATAGTTCACTCATTTGTGGTGCAGTTTGTTTTGTTATTTCCCCTTCAATTAGTTCCAGTCATGTATTGAGGATACAATAGGCAGGCATCAACTGTTAGGTAGCTCATCATCGTAACTCTATGTCCAAGTAACACTTACTTTATATGTAGCACTTCTCTATTGTGCCCCCTCCTGCATATGTATGTATAACCTCACAAGCCCCAATGTCTGATACGCTGGTAAATAGGATTTTGAAATTGTTTGGTTCAAAAATCTTTTGAAACTATCAGTGCATATGAGCACGTTTTATCTGCCCAATTGAGGTATTGGAGCCTTTGATGCTAATTGATCACAAAGTGATATTGATCATTTAAATGAACATCTTGCGGTTTGATGAGTCGACTGACCACTACTCCATAGAGGAGTTGAGACTTGCAGCAACTGTGTGGTTACTTAGTGAAATTTCATTAGCCTTGGTGGCCCCGGGTGCCTTATTCTGATCTAGGTGAGTGTCACATTTAGTCCTTGGACTTTCTCCAAAACAGATCAGATTGCAAGATGCTTCTAACACCTCAAGTCTTCAGGACAATTATAAGAATTAGAGTTATAAAGAGAGATCACCGCCCTGGACTGCTAGCTAGTGACCTTCTTTAATGCCTGGTTTATTACAGCACTTCTCCCTCTGGACTTTTGGTATAGCCTTCTTTAATGCCTGCTTTTGAAATAGGATTTTTTTAAATCCATGGTCCAAAGGATTTCACTTTCAATATTCCACTTGAATTATTCAAGTTTTTATATTTTATTCATTTCATACATAGATTTCAAAAGTAATTTGATTGCGCAAAGAGCCAATATTAGTTAAAATTCAGAGGAATGATTTATTTGTAGTGAAGTTACAATTCTATTAGTCTATCTGACTAATATTTTCGTAGGTTTCGTTTTGATAATCTCTTCTCAACAGATCCCGTAATATGGCCAGTACGCTTGTCGATCAACTAGCATTCTTGCGGCGGTATGAAGCGGCCTTAAACGACGGCAGTCCGACTGGGGTGACGAGATGCTTCGAGTTTCTCAGTGAAGATATCAGATGTGAATTCACGAACCACATTGACTTGGTTCATTTCTGTAAGATGCGTAAGCACTTACCTGAGGAGATATCCTCGTGGCGCACGCCCGGGGACGTGGCGCCATCCATTATTCGTCTATATAAACAACTTATCCTGACGAAATTAGTGGATTCAAACTACAACGCAACTGACGCATTGGTTGAGGACTTATATGATGTCATCAGTTCCGAAGCGTTGGAGTTTCTACGTGACAACAGCGTCACGTTTTCGGAAGACGATCTCATTGGACTGAAGAGAAAGTGCCAGAAAATACTGGATTCAAAAGGGAAATGCAATTCCGAAATTGTTCTGTCAGTTCTACTGAAGGAGGAAGAGACTAAGTCTAAGGGAGAGTGCAAGAGCTACGCCTTCTCCCACAAGACGGTGCAAGTGATGTTCGCTGCAGACAACGTCGTGCGGCGCATCCTAACCCACTGCAACGTCTCCCTAAACAGCATCCTGGCAGTCACGACATGCGGAATGACTCAGTAAGCCAACAGAATCAAATATCGGTTTGTGAAAGTTACGCTTTGAGCTGAAAGTACACCAGTAAAAATAACTCTGAAGCAAAGAACCAAATGTCGTGTCTGACTCCCGCGCCTTTCGAAGCCGCCATGCGCAATTTATTACCGGCTGGGAAGTTGTACTAGTCCCTTCTCGGGGTGCGCAACTGAGATGTCTGTTCTCATAGCTGCGCGTATCACAGATACCGGTACGCCCCGTTGGCAAGCCTCGCTTATTATTATTATTGAAACACTTCTCTTTAACTTCACTTCTTGTTTGTTTCTTTGTCTGCTACAATCTTATAGTCAATATTTAGCACACTTCTACCTCTCCAAACGATCTGAAATTTTGCACACTAGCGTAAAGTTAGAGGCAATGCATGAATAAATTTACAGAATAAATAATTTTTAAAATTTGAAAAAAAAATTTTCGTGAGAAAATAAATTGGAAAAATAATTTTGTCTGCTACAAATCTTATAATCTATATTTAACACACTTCTACCCGTCCAATCGATCTGAAATTTTTGCACACTTGCGTAAAGTCGAAGACAATGCATGAATCAATTGACAGAATAAATAAATTTGAAATTTTAAATTTTTTATATATAAAAAAAATTGAGGAAAAGTTTTTCCAAATATTTGAAAATAAAATTAGAAATTCATTGTACATGTCCAACATCGGAGACACCATATTCTTTAGAAGTGTGGTCTTAAAAAATAAATTTTTAAGCGCATATTATTTTGACTTCTTATAACATCACTCGCCTCGATGGTGTAATGAAACAATGAAATATTGAACACATCGCTGAACATCAGGGAAATTACGTGTTGTGAAATTGGGTGGTGATAGGAACGTTTCGACTTTCAATCAGCGAGGATGAAGATGTTTGTGATGATGTGATATATTGATGTGTTCTATCGCAGCTATTCGTTGCGAGTGCGACAACGAATAGCAGCGATAGAACACATCATTATATCACACCATCGAGTGCGACATTTTCGCTCTCGTGTGCCGACGCCTGGGTGAGGACCGAGCCAGGCTTGATCGTGGTGGTTATCTTTCAAAGACATGCTACGTATTCTCAATTCATGTGTTCATTCGCGCGCGTTGCAATTTCAACATTTTGTCATTTTTTAAACTGATTCAAGTTTCGAAACATTTTTTCATGAATTAACTTGAATCCGTTGCCCGTCTCAGTAAAGTTCTCAGCTTTTGACCTGTGCTGACCTCTTCCCTCCTTCCCTCGTATTAACCCTTCTAGTATTCTTACTCTTGACGTACAATGCTTCATACAAGCGTTGTCCAGTAGCAAGTAGAACATCACGCACGATTGGCGACGTTTGCAATGCTTGTGCTAAATGAACTCATTGTGTTGACTAAGCAGTGATATTGTGTGTACTATGCAGAAATATATTGTGTTGCCTAAGAGGACTCAAATCGTTTTTAATAAGCAGACATATTGTGTTGACTTGGCAGACATATATCGTGATGTTTAAGCAGACTTAAATTGTTTGGACTCAGCAAATTCTCATATTTTGGATCTGGAGACATGCAGTAAACAGAGACTTATTATCAAGCAGCAGTCATGAAACTGTCATTTACTTTGGTAAAGCAAACAATAAAATCACAGACACCTATTGTGAAGCAACAGCTCACTAGGAAACACCTAAATGTGTACCAAACTCCCTTCCTCCAGCTTGCTGGAGGTGCTGCTGCACGTGGTGCCGGCACTGAGCAGATTCAGCCCCCATAAATTGGAGGAGCGGTGGGAAGATCTGAAGAAGGCGTTGCGGGACGCCGGCGTCATCGGCGCCGACAATGTGAGAGACTGCGTTGCCCGCTGCAGTCCCGACCACGCGGGGATGGTGGCGGAGATCGCCGCCCTGGTGGCCGACGTGAGATGGAACGTCTGTAACGGTGGGTGACGTTCACTCGTGTTGTGTGTGGCAGGGTATCCGCTGACGCTACGACAATTTCATCAGTGGATCGTCGCGGGTGAAAGCCTAGCAAAGTTCTAACGGGGATGGGACCTCGTGGTTTACCGAATAAAATTAGAAATTTTAAATGTTTTCGATCTGATGGAGCGATAATTTTACGAGGCATTCATGTAGATGGTTTCTGATGACAATCTTTCATGAATCGTGCAATTTTGAGGAACTTAAACACGTTTGACTATTGAAAGAAACTATCGCTGGGGGTGCACTCTGGAAGTCATATGAATATTTTGTACGACAACTTGGTTCCCAGTCAGTCTGATTGAAGATGATGTTGAGGCCCTCACTTAATTGTGCTTCCATACGGCAAGAAGGTGCGCTGACAAAGTGCCTCTTTTCATGCATGCATGTTCAATTGACGTGCAATAATAACTAATGATGCAGTCCAGAAATAGTTTTGATTCAGCTTCTTCGTTGGTTGAACAGAAAATATCAATGATTGTTTTTTCGACGGAATATACGCACATGGCTGATACAGGATTTTTGCCGCTAAAAACTCAAGCTTTACGATAGTCCGAGCTTAGCTGTTTCAGTATTATGGCCGAATTTCAGGAGGAGTTTATGCCTTTTTTGGCTTTGGTGATCACGTTATGGTTGCCCGCAGGTCGCCATGTGGCCGCAGTTGTCGAGATGCTGCAATATGGCGCGCCTAGGAAGCTGTGGGTACACATGAAGGCCGAGGCCCTTAGGGGGGCACCGTGGGGGGCGCTCGTGGCGGCGGCAGGGTCGAAGGGCGTGGAGGTCTGGCTTTGTCTGGAATGCCCTGACGACTACGAGCCCCATGACGACCTCCTCCTGCCGCTGCGCCACAGCGGGTAAGAACCTGCAGGTGCAGGTAAGAACTTCCAGGTGCAGGTGAGAACCAGCAGGTGCAGGTAAGAATCTGCAGGTGCAGGTAAGAACCTGCAGGTGCAGGTAAGAACCTGCAGGTGCAGGTAAGAACCTGCAGGTGCAGGTAAGAACCTGCAGGTGCAGGTAAGAACCTGCAGGTGCAGGTAAGAACCTGCAGGTGCAGGTAAGAACTTCCAGGGGCAGGTGAGAACCAGCAGGTGCTGCAGGAACTTGCAGGTGCAGGTAAGAACCTGCAATACCCATTATTCATCCCTCTGAACTGAGGGCATTATATTTATGCCGCAGCATTACCCATTATTCATCCCTCTGAACTGAAGGCATTATATTCATGCCGCACCATTACTTATTATTCATCCCTCTGAACTGAAGGCATTATATTCATGCCGCACCATTACTTATTATTCATCCCTCTGAACTGTAGGCATTATATTCATGCCGCACCATTACTTATTATTCATCCCTTCATGCCGCACCATTACTTATTATTCATCCCTCTGAACTGTAGGCATTATATTCATGCCGCACCATTACTTATTATTCATCCCTCTGAACTGAAGGCATTACATTCATGCCGCACCATTACTTATTATTCATCCTTCTGAACTGAAGGCATTATATTCATGCCTCACCATTACCCTCCTGGGGGACAGGGTGAGGCTGGGGGGGTTCATCGGCTGCGTGGGCACCTGCGCTGGGGTCGCCGCCCTCGCCTCATGCGTGGACACCGGCGCTGACCTCTACATCCACATGGCGGCGCCCCTGGACCTCAGCGTCCTCGGGGGGACATACGAGGAGCTCAGTGAGTCTTGCCCAGCACGGGAGGCGGCGCTCCTGGGCCCGTGGGCGCCGTACAGTTATATATTGTATAGTCGTTATTTATTGTAATGTTTGGTGATTATTCGCCAGAATAATCACAAATTAAAATAATTACACATTATGTGTTTTTTTCAATTTGTAAAATCAAGATCTAGCGATTCGCCAATTGATTTTTTATTTCTTTATAGTTTGAATTATATTTTGCAAAAAAGGTGGAGGCGAAAATCGAGCAACATCCACACACCCAAACATATATGAATTTGGAAAAAATCAATTGGTGAATCGCTAGATTTTGCGAATCGGTTTTTGCGAATCGAGTGATATGTATCTCGATGTTGTAGCACGTTAATTGGATTAGGAGATAGATTTTGAAATAGATTTTTCTATGAATTTCACTTTTTTCATTTTTATAAAAAAATTACGCGAACAAAAAGGTCTTATATTTCTGTTTTACATATTTGTACCAAGTTTCAAAATGATCTGTTCATAAATAAAAAAGTTTATGAGGGAGACGCTTTCCGTATATATATTTACGTAGTACTATAAATATCAAAACATTAATTAATTAACTAACTTATTAACACTAATCAAGGAGCCAATCATGGCGGCTATAATCTATTACGTGGGTATTATATATATGGTTATAAATAGTGTATACAGTAATGTACTATTAATAAAATAATAATAATAATGATAATCTTATCCTCATTGTTATCTTATTTGACCTGCGCAGCGGTGTACACGCGCCCCCTCCCGCCCCCTGGCCCCGCCTCCCCCACGTGGCCGCTGCCCCCCTCCCCTCCGCCATCGCTGTACGTGGAGGGGACGACTGAGGGGTCCTGGAGGGCCGTGGCCCGCACCATCATCTCCCTCGCCCCCCCTGGCAAGAGGTGCGTAGCCCCCGACCCCCGCGGAGGGCAATAGAGTTCCATTTGTTATACATCGTATAGTTATACATCGTGTGGTTATACATCGCTATTTATCGCATAGATATACATCGTATAACTATACGTCTGTATCGTATAGTTACATCGTATAGTTATACATCGAATAGTTATACATCGAATAGTTTTACATCGAATAGTCATACATCGTATAATTATACATGGTATAGTTATACATCGTATAGTCATACATCGTATAGTCATACACCGTATAGTTATACATCGTATGTTATACATCGTATAGATATATCGAATAGTTTTACATCGAATAGTCATACATCGTATAATTATACATGGTATAGTTATACATCGTATAGTCATACATCGTATAGTCATACACCGTATAGTTATACATCGTATGTTATACATCGTATAGATATATATCGAAATATTAGCTGTGCATCGTGTAGTTATACATCGTATAGTCATACATCGTATAGTCATACACCGTATAGTTTACATCGTATGTTATACATCGTATAGATATATATCGAAATATTAGCTGTGCATCGTGTAGTTATACATCGTATGGTTATACATCGCATAGTCATACATCAATTAGTTATACATCGTATAAATTATACATAGTTTTAAGATGTGCAACTGAGGGAATGACACTGTAGTTTGTGCGTGTGGGAATGATACCGCAGTTTGTGTGTCCAGGGGAATGACACTGCATTTTGTTATTGGGGGAATGAAAATGCAGTTTGTGTCTGGGGGAATGACATTGCAGTTTGTGTGTCTGGGGGAACGACACTGCAGTTTGTGTGTGGGGTAATGACACTGCAGTTTGTGTCTGGGGGAACGACACTGCAGTTTGTGTGTGGGGGAATGGCTCTGCAGTTTGTGTGTCTGTAGAAATGACACTGCAGTTTGTGTGTCTGTAGAAATGACACTGCAGTTTGTGTGTCTGTAGAATGTAGTTTGTGTGTCTGTAGAAATGACACTGCAGTTTGTGTCTGGGGGAATGACACTGCAGTTTGTGTGTCTGTAGAAGTGACACTGCTGTTTGTGCGTCTGTAGAAGTGACACTGCTGTTTGTGCGTCTGTAGAAGTGACACTGCTGTTTGTGCGTCTGTAGAAGTGACACTGCAGTTTTTGTGTCTGTAGAAGTGACACTGCAGTTTGTGTGTCTGTAGAAATGACACTGCAGTTTGTGTGCCCAGGTTCCACAGGCTGGGTCTGCCGGCCTGCAGGCTACGCGCTGTAGAGCTGCCGCAGCTGCGGCAGTTCACGAGAGACGAATGCCTGCAGTCAACGTGAGTGGACGGCGTTCACTGATTTTTGGTCAATATTCCTATGTCACTAAATGATGTTCTTTCTTATTGACTACAATGATTGTAGTGAAGTGTAATTTCAAATGATGGCCGCCGCAAATGAAACAAACTGATGGCCAATCTTGAAGGACCGCCCACTCAGATGGCGGCCAATCAATGATCACAGCGCCATCATCACGACTATCATTAAAATTCGCTTTTATACCAGAATGATGGTATGTCTTCTTTATTTTCAATCATATTACTTAATACTATATTGTTTTCAATTATATATATAATTTAGGTATTTTTGTAAGTATACATAAGTATTTAAGTATTTATTTTTGAAGTATTTAAGTATGTACGTATTTTTCAAATCAAATATATATTACATTATTAAAAATATATTATATGTATATTGTATATCAACTAATATACAAACTTATACATAATTCGAATCCTATTTTATAATTAATCATATATGTTAATTCTATATAATCCAATGAATCACATTGAATTAATATATTAATGACAATCATCTTATCTCTTATATATTAATGATAAGATGATGGCGCTCGTTCATTGGTCGCCATACCAATGATAGCGCCACACAAGATGACGGCTGCTGCAATGCCATGCAGGATACATGTCACATGCCACGCAGGATACATGCCACTTGCCACACAGGATACATGCCACATGCCACGCAGGATACATGCCACATGCCACGCAGGATACATGACACATGCCACGCAGGATACATGCCACATGCCACGCAGGATACATGCCACATTTGATATTTGTTGAACGTATTTAATTTACGAGCATAATTGTTCTATTGTTGCAGGGCAGAGCGGCGCACTCTCCTCGCTTGTTCCTCACGTCTTAATGTCGTCACATCTGAATGATGGTGACGATATGGTGAATGATGGCGGTCAAGGCAAAAGTAAAGTAAATATGTTCTCAATCGACAAGATGAATTGATAATAAGTGAGGAAATAGAGGCAGAGAGAGAGAGTAAATACGAGATACTAACTGCTGGTCTCATTCCTTGCCATGTCAGCACCTCAGATTGGATCTGCCAACTGCAGGGTATGTTCCTTTATGAATTAGATTACGTTTAGCGGAATATCCGAGAGTGTTAATTTGAAACTGATTGTTGCAGTTAGGTTTACGGTGTGCGATTATCAGAGGAAATTTCACTCTTCGACGCAGGCATAGGAATTTTTTCGCCCGTACGCAATGAAAATAATTGTGATCTAGCTGGGAAAATCTTTCGAATACCTTGTGGAGTTGAATCGCAAACAACAATTAGCTAATTATGGAGTTATAAATCTTTCGTAATATATGAGATAGAAGGATATTTATTACATGCCGTTAGATAAAGTTGCGAAACTGGCTGACAACTGCCAGGCCTTACATGTTATATAGAGCGGAAGTTAGGAACAAAGTGTAATTTTCTTCAAACTTTGCGCCGGACAAAGAACCTACTTTCTTTCAGTGTGGAAATAAGATCACAGTTCTCATAACTGTAGCATTAAAACTAGCCATGCTCTTGTCAGTCCCTCTCATTTGCCTGCAGATCAAAGCAAGCCTAATATTTGTTTGCGATGGAATAAACCATGGGCCTATAGCTTACTTAGTTCTGTTGATCTAGATTTGCTGCGGGTAGATTTGATTCAAGTGCGAATTTCTTTGCTAAAATGATATTGGAAAACTAAGGTGGATCAATCGTTTCCCGTAACTTTTGATTTTTGTAAGTGGAATGAAGTAAAAATTTTGAGATATACGAATGCTATACCACTGTGCTTGTCAGGAAGTCACTTGTGCCAGCAAATCAAATGACTGGCAAGAATCTATGTCTTAATTAGCACATAACCGTGCAATAAGTCCTCCTAAACCTCGTGTCAATCCGGACTGTATCTTTTACAAGGGATAACAGATGCTGATGCATTTCTGAACTATTATTTGAAGTTTTTAATGGAAATATTGCTGGTGCCGCATGTGCTTGTACGACCAACTATACTGGTCGAATCCATGGTCCATCCGTATACTTGAGAATCCATGGTCAGTTAAAATTTCGAGTTAGAAACATTTTGAATCTGATGCGGGAACTTCACCACCCTGTATTGTAAATAATCTTTTTCGATTTAACGACAATAAGTACTCAAGATTATGCTTTGCTGCGACAATCCAAAAATTGTATAAGTATTTCAAACTTATAGATGCTGACTCAACAAACTTGCTAAAATTTTCACTATAGAGAACAATGTATTGATTAAATAAGCATGGATAAGAAGTCTATGTTGAATATTTTTAAACAGTTCGTGTTGCCTTCAGAAATGAGGAAGAAAGTAATGGAATTAGCACATGACGTCATTACCGCTGGACACTTGGGCGTTCAGAAATAAAGGATAGAGTAATATATATGGCACATTTTTCGGGGTCTGGTTGTTAATATAACATTCGTCTTTTCCGAATTTCATCTTCCTCGTGTTTGAAATTTGCATGTAGTCCTAGTTACCATTGATTGAAGTGCCTGTACTACAAAGTTTAAGGTTATGGAAATTATTTTGTTATCGCTTCCTACTAGCGCCAGTATAATGTTGGCTGTACGTAAAATAAGACGGATTTATAAGGCTGATTATGTCATTAGAGTTAATGATTCTGAACCAACTTACCATGTGAACAAGTTGAAGATTTTCAGGGAGCGCGAGGCTGGCTCACAACTTCTGCATGTTCGCTCCGTAGCGTAAATGATGTCCCTAGTGATATTAAGATCAGCGAGGATTTCAATGTGTCTCATCTTCATACTATCCTTAATGTGTTTAATGCTGATGAGAGTGTTATTTGGAGCGAAACGAAGCTATAAGTGCATTGAGAAACTAGACCAACTTTTAAGCATTTCTAAAAATTCTTTTGACATGAAATACATGTATACTTCTTTTTGTATTTATAACGTTCATTACGAATTCAATGTTCCCTTTGTTATAAAATGTATCGATTCACTTGTAATACTTATCATTATTTGATCTTGATTTACTGATTCGGATTGCTATCTTGATGTCTTGTAACATTCATTTATTAGCGTTATGTTTTTATTCCAGTAGTTATAAGAGCGGAGTGAGCCTCTTGTTGCTCACGTCTTGTAACATTCATTTATTAGCGTTATGTTTTTATTCCAGTAGTTATAAGAGCGGAGTGAGCCTCTTGTTGCTCACGTCTTGTAACATTCATTTATTAGCGTTATGTTTTTATTCCAGTAGTTATAAGAGCGTTTCTCGCCACAAGTTACATTCTACGAGACTTGCATTAAAGTCAAGACTGCGCGTATTGTGAGTGAACTCAAGACGACATTCTTACAAATGTCATTAACTAGACAGTTTGTATTGTGTGGGATTAATTTTAATGCGTTTTCTTTTGTATGGAATTGATTATACCAATAAAAATGTGATTGAATTACCCACACGCGTTTCATTCACGCCTCGTCGCAAGCTTTGGAGGCGAGTCCCAGAGTCGCCATAGTCTCGGGAAATTTTGTTATTCGAAGATGACAAATTTATTTTTATCTTGTAATACAAAGTTTTTATTGGAAACCTCGAGTTGAGAGAAGAGGAGACGCAAATGGCGTTGACGGTGACCAGAGCTTCTATGAAATAAGCAGGAAATAAATAGGGAAGAATTTTTAAATAAAATTAAAATTAAATTAACAAAGATGCGATATCGTTGAGAAGAGTTAGTTCAAACAAGTTATTGTTAATAATTTGTACTGTACGATGTTTGACATTTGAGTAAGAACATTGAGAGAAATGACCATCTAGAGACACTAGAGTTTGGTCTGGAATAAATTTCATTCCTAAAGTTTCCAAGATGTTACACCATCGTATAATAAATAAACTATTTTACTGGTATCAATTCAAGTAAAAACGCGAATATACTGCAGTGTAAGCGCGACGGTGGCTTCCGAACGCTCTTACGTCAGCGTCAGCCTGTGTAAGAAATTACCACTTTCGGATGCATTGCTGCCTTCACTTGTTGCCCAAGTGACGATGTAGCGCACCTCCAAATTAGCTCAGATTTGTACCGGCAGCCGACTTAGCAACATCTCTAATCTTAGGGTGCGCACACAGTGAAAGCAGGTTGCCAGCGTGCTGGTTACCTGCTCAGGCTGGCGCCTGAAACCATAGAATACAGAAGCCTATTCGTACAGGTTTTCACTGTGAACACTTACATTATTATCCTATGTTCATTCTTGTGGCAGGTTGCAGCAGGTTGCCCGCGCGGGCAAACCTGCTCTCACTGTGTGCGTACCCTTACCTGCGACCTGACTCTTGGACTACACATCTTCAGCGACCACTGGCTCCTAATTCTTGCTGAGACTTATTCTACTGTCATATAATTTTGTGTGAATGTGGTTCCTAGCAGGATTTATTTAACTATTTATTACTCGTGTATTAACTATGTAGGATTTATCTTAGGCTCACCATAATTTACGTTTGGGAATAACCTCCATTTGGGACGTTTAAGGTGGATATAAATTAACTTTGGTCATTTGCTTAGGGTCTAGTATAGGTAGATGGAGGTTTAGGGTTTCAGTCCTCCTCTAACTTTTTCCCGAGCATTTGAACCTCCTACTATCCTGCCTGTTCTTTCTGGTGAGCCTTCCTCCTACTTTACACTCCTCTTTTGTTAGGGTTTCATTTCTTTAGCCAAGCAGTTGTGACAACGGTTACACACTGAACTCCGAATAGATTTAGGTGTGTGCCATGACTCTTATGAGATTTAAAATTGTTATATACTGCCCTAATAATTGCATTTATCAAGCTTTATCTCGCCAGATCTACCCATGTCATAATCTTTAATTTCGTCAACAGTATGAACTTCGCCGCTCCTGTGACGCCTGTTGCCGATCCCGACCCTTACCTGGATCTATTTAGTCTGAAGATTCCAAATTCTGATGTCCAGTTGACCAAAATTACCGAGCCTGGTCTGACTTAACTTACTCCTTGGATGAAGAATTTACTTACCATGAGTGAACTTCCATTGCTTCCCGTGGATGAAGAAGACCCAAGGAGATCCAAACTTAAATCTCTTTCAATAAATGATAAAATGATCCTCTGATTATAAATCTTTACTTTAACTATTATGTGGCGAATTGAAAAATTCCTTACACCAGACAACCAACTTTCACTGTGCAGGGAAGTGAACTTTGGTATTACCGACACTTTTATTGGTAACGAAGGCACTGGTGGATGATTGAGATGCAACTTGAAACAAAAGAAACAAAATGAGGAATTTGTGAAAGAACAAAATAATGAACCCAAAGTATACCGAGCAGATGCCACGCACTGAATCTATTGTTCATGGCAATGAAGTAATATGATTCTGTAAACAAAAATATTAACTTGACAAGTTGTGGCAATATAATGCGTAACCCTGGTTATTCCTAACAAAATTATAATTCACAAATATCACATACAAATTTACATGTCACAATAAACTATTCACAAAAGAATCACCAACAGTAAAGTGCGAAGTCGACGGAATGAAAGTGACGAGTGTCGGATGATCAGGTGAACAGACTTCTTCTCTAAATGAAAGTGCTAGTAAAATTGAAAGCCAAAACATTACTCAAAAATTAATACACATTTAACGCAACAAATATAAGAAATAACTGTTTGATTGATCGCAAAAAATGACAAAAAAATCGCGGTACAAAAATTAGTGACGCGCGAGGTGCAGCTACAACAGAACTTGCGACGACACAAGCTTCAGAGGCAGACCTCCATGATCCTGCATGGCCTGAGGTGGTGCCGGCAATGAGGGAATGAACGGTAATGGAGGAGAGGAATGTACGGTAATGGAGGAGAGGAATGTACGGTAATGGAGGAGAGGAATGTACGGTAAT